AAAAAAAAACAGAATTAAATCCCACCTGTAAATGCAATATATTTAAAAAATAACTTTCCATTCCAAGATATCTCTGATGTAATTCCCTATGATTTCTGGATATTCCCGATGCACCGACTCCCTTTCTGTACTGGATTTTCCCGGAAAACCTAGTCGTTCACTGAGTCTTTGTCAGAACTGTCTCTACTGAACTTATACCTAACGCCGTTCATAAGGCTTTGGGGCCTATCATTAAAATAATATTTGAAAAAAAAATAGAACAGCAATATAGTGCTGACCTATGGTCAGTGGCGTAGCTAGGGGAGGGGGGTGTCCAAATTCGAAAGTCCCCCCGGGCCCCTACATTGAAGAGGGGGGGGCCTAAAGGCGTGTCCGAATTATTATTTTTTTTACATTAAATAATGTCCAATGTCAAAATGTAGGGGCCCCTTAAGAGGCCAAGCCCCCCCCCCGGACCCCCAAATCCCCCCCTCCGCAAATCCCTAGCTACGCCACTACCTATAGTCAATTATGGGAGCAGGGGTGTTGAACTCACCAACACAGCTCCTCGTGCCGAAGCCAAAAGGTATCATGGAAAATGCTGGTGCATTCGTCTCGTCCTGGTCACCCCTGAGCCACCTGTCCGGTTTGAACTGGTCGGGCTCCGTGAAAATCGTCTCGTCTCGTGACATGACGTAGAGGTTCAGCATTATAATCGTCTGCCGTGAAGAAAAATTTGCATTTTGTTAATATTTTGAGGTATACACAATATAAGGAAAAAAACAATCAAAACTCAAATCATAAAAAACAAATCAAATAATTACTTAAAATGTGTCCCTACAGCCCGTGTATAAATATATCCATCCATCCATCCATGTGGCGATACAGCCCGTGTATAAAGATATCCATCCATCCATCCATGTGGCGATACAGCCCGTGTATAAATATATCCATCCATCCATGTGGCGATACAGCCCGTGTATAAAGATATCCATCCATCCATGTGGCGATACAGCCCGTGTATAAAGATATCCATCCATTCATCCACGTGGCGCTACAGCCCGTGTATAAAGATATCCCTCATTCCATGCCTGTGGCGCTACAGCAAATGTATAAATATATCCATGCACCCATCCCTGTGGTGCGACAACCATGTATAAATATATCCATTGATCCATGTGGGCTCTAAATATGAAAGGTATGTACGCCCTGAGTGTCTTAGTCAACATTCAAGGTTGAGTCATTCCCATGATTCATTCTAAATGTCGTGCCGTTAAATTCCCATCACGCCCACTTCACTACAGCATCCACTCACTACTACCACTTCACTACAGCATCCACTCACTACCACCACTTCACTACAGCATCCACTCACTACCACCACTTCACTACAGCATCCACTCACTACCACCACTTCACTACAGCATCCACTCACTACCACCACTTCACTACAGCATCCACTCACTACGCCCACTTCACTACAGCATCCACTCACTACCACCACTTCACTCCAGTATCTGCTTAATTCGCCCACCTCATTTCAGCATCTACCCAATACACCCACCTTATTGCAGCATCTACTCATTACGTCCACTTCATTATAGCATCTACTCATTACGTCCACTTCATTATAGCATCTACTCATTACGCCCACTTCATTATAGCACCTACTCATTACGCCCACTTCATTATAGCATCTACTGATTAAGCCCACTTCATTACAGCATCTACTCATTACGCCCACTTCATTATAGCATCTACTCATTACGCCCACTTAATTATAGCATCTACTCATTACGCCCAATTCATTTCAGCATCTACTCATTACGCCCACTTAATTATAGCATCTACTCATTACGCCCACTTCATTTCAGCATCTCCCGATTACGCCCACTTCATTTCAGCGTCTCCCTATTACGCCCACTTTATTTCAGCATCTCCTTAATACGCCCACTTCATTATACCATCGAAATGAGTTCACACGGAGTCACGTGACAGCCTTGAACTCTGAACTCACGTCCTTGGGGATGAAGTAGCCTCCAACCGAGGTGTCCTCGGTGGTGGTCCGTGCGTTCATGGGAATGGGCGGGAAGAGTCGCAGCGTCTCCTTGACGCACGCCTTGAGAAACGGCATGTTCTGCAGGTCGGCGCTCCCGGCCTGACGTCTGCCCAGGACGTTGTCGATCTCGGCCACCAGTCTCGCCTGGACGGCCTCGTTTTTGGACAGCAGGTAGAACAGGAAGGCCAGCGAGTTGGCAGTCTGTCAAAGTATCATTTTAAAAAATAATTATAATTTAGGAACTCAAAAAAACACCAAAAAACAACAACAAATAAACCTTCCAACTATAATCAATCAAATAGTTTTAACAGAAAGGAAAAGTTCATTGAGCAAATTTGAGATAGCTGTCGCCTCAAGGGCTCTAAAAATGTTCACCGAATCAATCAAATGAACACCCACCGTGTCGATGCCGCCCATGAACACTTCGATGATGTTGTCGACGATCTCGTTTCTGCTCAGCTGGTGGGTGCCGACAACGTACTTCATGAAGTCCACGTGCTCGCCCTCCACGGGCGGCACCCCTGTGTCCAGCTCTTTGGTCACCTCGTCAATTCTCTGGTTGATGTGCTCCGCCGCTACAGGGAGACAACAGTTGAACATCTTTGACTTTCTTGTGCAAGCGCCTCTCCTCAATCGTAAGGCTATTAGCCCCCTCCATGTTAAGGCTATTTTCCCCCTTCATGTTAAGGCTATTTGCCCCCCTCCATGTTAAGGCTATTTGCCCCCTCCATCTTAAGGCTATTTGTCCCCTCCATGTTAAGGCTATTTGTCCCCTCCATGTTAAGGCTATTTGTCCCCTCCATGTTAAGGCTATTTGTCCCCTCCATGTTAAGGCTATTTGTCCCCTCTATGTTAAGGCTATTAGCCCCCTCCATGTTAAGGCTATTTGCCCCCCTCCATGTTAAGGCTATTTGCCCCCTTCATGTTAAGGCTATTTGCCCCCTCCATGTTAAGGCTATTTGTCCCCTCCATGTTAAGGCTATTTGCCCCCTCCATGTTAAGGCTATTTGTCCCCTCCATGTTAAGGCTATTTGTCCCCTCTATGTTAAGGCTATTTGCCCCCTCCATGTTAAGGCTATTTGCCCCTCTATGTTAAGGCTATTTGCCCCCTCCATGTTAAGGCTATTTGACCCTTCCATGTTAAGGCTATTTACCCCTCTATGTTTAGGCTATTTACCCCCTCTATGTTAAGGCTATTTGCCCCCTCCATGTTAAGGCTATTTTTCCTCTCCATGTTAAGGCTATTTGCCCCCTCGGACAATGACAGGACACATGACAGGACACATGACAGGACACATGACAGGACAAATGACAGGACAAATGACAGGACAAATGACAGGACAAATGACAGGATAAATGACAGGACAAATGACAGGACAAATGACAGGACAAAAGACAGGACAAATGACAGGACAAATGACAGGACAAATGACAGGACAAATGACAGGACAAATGACAGGACAAATGACACGACAAATGACATGACAAATGACACGACAAATGACATGACAAATGACAGGACACATGACAGGACACATGACAGGACACATGACAGGACACATGACAGGACACATTACAGGACACATTACATGACACATTACAGGACACATTACAGGACACATTACATGACACATTACAGGACACATTACAGGACACACGACATGACACATGACAGGACACATGACAGGGCACATTGACGCACCGAAGTCGTAAATCTTGTCCCAGGACTCCACGTGCTGCCTCCACGGGCGGGTGCGCAGGAACTTGTGGAGGCTGGCGTAGACCATGAGCTGGTGACCCGTGAGGAACATGGTGGCTATGGACTGGATGAAGGTGTTGACCTGCTCGGACACCTCGCGGTCCAGACATCCGACCCGCTTGTTTAGCATGACGTAGAGTATAGCTGGGGGGGGGGGGGAAAGAGGGGTGGGGTGGGGGGGGGGGAATGGGGAACCCGTGAGGAACATGGTGGCTATGGACTGGATGAAGGTGTTGACCTGCTCGGACACCTCGCGGTCCAGACATCCGACCCGCTTGTTTAGCATGACGTAGAGTATAGCTGGGGGGGGGGGAGAAAGAGTGGTGGGGTGGGGGGGAGGTAATGGGGAGCAGATGAGATGGTGCTAGGAAATTCGATGCACTTGGTAAATGTAAACTTTAGTTCATGAAGATTTTCTTAAAATTGAACTTAGCCCAGGTAGAAATAGGTTTACTGGGCCCATTATGTCTTTTTTTTTTTTAATGATGTGAGACATTGCCACACACGCTTGTTCTATGCGGTCCCAAACAAACTGAACCTGAACAAAACGAACAATAATTGAACATTTGTAATCCATGATACATGGTGTAATTTGATCCGTGACACATGAACATAATTTGAAATCCATGACATAGGGATGCAATTTGACCCATGGTACATGGATGTAATTTGATCCATGACACATACATGTCATTTGAAATCCATGATAAATGGGTGTAGTTATGATCCAATGGATCAAACCTCTCAGTCGTCTCAGATGTATGTCTTAAGGGTCTCAGATGTACGTCTTAAGGGTCTCAGATGTAAATCTTAAGGGTCTCAGATGTACGTTTTAATGGTCTCTGATGTACGCCTTTATGATCTCAGATGAGATGCAGCGAAATTCCGCTGAACCAGATTTTCCCGAAGATTCAGGCGCTATTTTGATCAATCTTATGACAAGTGTTCACGACCTTGGATAAGAGCGTTATGACCTTTACGGCCTTGGAATTAAATGAAACATTAAAGATCACGTGACAGTGATTAGGTTGCGATGTTTGTGTTGACGTGTCTGAAAACGAAATTTCCTGAAAATAAAGTTATCCCCCCCCCCTACGCCTCGTCTGGCTGAGTTAAAAATTAAAAAAAAAATAATAAATTGGTGATTAAAAAAAAATTGTGTACAAAAAAAATTTTTTTCATTTAAAACAAAATTTAATTTTAATTTTCCTCCTGGCCTTGGTTTGGGGGGGGGGGGGGAAGTATCGCTCCAGTGATTAGGTAGCTATAAATCTTTTTAACATCCGAGCGGCCCTTGCTTTGCAGATCTTAGTGGCTGTCAAACGACCTTGCAGGTGACCTTAAGACATTATTCGTACAAGTGAAGGACTGAAAGTCGGTGAAGAATGGCAACAAGGGTTATCGTCCTTGTCTTGGAAATAAAGGACGTGACGAACCACTGTACGTAACGGTTAGTTGTAGAATGGAACCGTACATAAAGAACGGGTGAATAGACAGCAAAATAAAGCACGGGTCAATAGACAGCAAAATAAAGCACTGGTGAATGGACAGCAAAATAAAGCACAGGTGAATGGACAGCAAAATAAAGCACAGGTGAATGGACAGCAAAATAAAGCACTGGTGAATGGACAGCAAAATAAAGCACTGGTGAATGGACATCAAAATAAAGCACTGGTGAATGGACAGCAAAATAAAGCACAGGTGAATGGACAGCAAAATAAAGCACAGGTGAATGGACAGCAAAATAAACCACTGGTGAATGGACATCAAAATAAAGCACTGGTGAATAGACATCAAAATAAAGCACGGGTGAATGGACAGCAAAATAAAGCACAGGTGAATGGACATCAAAATAAAGCACAGGTGAATGGACAGCAAAATAAAGCACAGGTAAATGGACATCAAAATAAAGCACAGGTGAATGGACAGCAAAATAGAGCACAGGTGAATGGACAGCAAAATAAAGCACTGGTGAATGGACATCAAAATAAAGCACTGGTGAATGGACATCAAAATAAAGCACTGGTGAATGGACAGCAAAATAAAGCACAGGTGAATGGACAGCAAAATAAAGCACAGGTGAATGGACAGCAAAATAAACCACTGGTGAATGGACATCAAAATAAAGCACTGGTGAATAGACATCAAAATAAAGCACTGGTGAATGGACAGCAAAATAAAGCACAGGTGAATGGACATCAAAATAAAGCACAGGTGAATGGACAGCAAAATAAAGCACGGGTGAATAGACAGCAAAATAAAGCACGGGTGAATAGAC